CATTGCCCTGGCCAGCATGTAGCCCCGATATAAACCCGATAGAGCACATTTGGGACATCATCGGTGTAAAAGTGCGAAAAATGACACCTCCTGTGCAAAATCTTGCAGAATTGGACAATGCACTGCACCATGAATGGTAACAGTTAACACAACAACAAATACGACGGTTATGTGGTGGTATGAGAAGGCGGCTGGAAGCAGTGATCCGTGTGAACGGAAGTTATAAAAAATATTGAAATTTCCGGTTTAAATTGACAAAATGGACCAAAATGGGTGTGTTTGACATCAACTCGAAGTTGTCCGATGGAATTGGAATCGCGTAGACCAATAGTTGTAAACAGTGCATTTGTGCTCAAAAATGATGTCTTATTAAAAATAAAATTTTGTATAATTAAATTTAAATTTTTCAGTGTTTAACATGTCTATCAGCTTTAAAAAGACCCAATTCACCCCAAAACTATGAACATTTAACCATATTTTAGAAAAAAAATGGTACACGTTAGGTTTGAAATTTGTCTAATGGAAAAAATCAGGTGTTGCAATACTTTTTTCCAGGTGTATATATACAAATTTTTACCTTACTATCATAAATTGTTTAATCTAGTATTTGATAGTGGTGATAATCCTAAATCATTGACATTAGGAATTATTTAAGCTATTTACAAAAATAAAGGCCCGAAGGACCCCGACAAGTATCGGGTGATTTCTTTAGTCTAGGTAAACTGTTTTCTTCAATCTTAAACCCAAGATTAAATAATATTTTCAGATGAAACGGGTCTTATAACTGAGACACATGCAGGTTTCGAGCGTCATATTCTATGCAGGATAATTTATTTTTTGTTTTGTTTAGCTGCGCTATTTCTATCAAAGAAAACAAAATATTCTGCACATTTATAGATTTAAAAAAAGGATGTGATAAAATTTGGAAGGCAGGGTTGTGGCAGTAATTGATTAAAAGTAACATTCAAAGGAAAATGTTTAAAGTCATTTTTTTCATGTTATAGCAATATTAAATGGTGATAGATACTTTGAATTATTACATGTGATATTGGTGTTAGACAAGGATAATTTATCTCCATTTCTTTTCCCTATTTATTTAAACGATTTAGAACAATATTTGTCTGAAAATTGTGAAATTCGCATTGCTATTAGACGTGTCTCCGTATTAATTCATATATTTAGTTATGGTGTGTCTTTTGTAAGTCTAGTTGGACATTCTGTTATGTCTTATCGTTTGTGGTTTAAATTCTATTTGTATTTTCTATATGTATGTAAAGTTGAGATAATTAATCAGCTAGTTCATTTATATGATTTTTAGTTTAAAGCAACTATATGCACAGGATTTATTTGTTTTTACATAGTTTTGATTTAGGAGAAAAACCGACCTGGTTAGAAAATACAAATAAGTACACAATTACTTACACAATTATATATTAATATTCTTGTAATGGTTAGAAAATACATAAAATAACACCATTACAAACTTAATCCCAATTTTATATTCCACTTTTAGAAATTTACCTGTGACGTCACTTTTTGTGGCGTTGATCATTCGTGTGACGCACGGTTCATAATTCTGTTGTGGTATACTGGAAAACTGTCGTAAATAAATGGAATGTGTCCGTTGTTATTCTGTGGTTTACATGTTGTAATGTAGTATTATATTATTTATTTATATATTTACATTTGTATCTGTCCTGAGTGTTCTTTCGTTTAATTGTACTGTATTTCTGTCACGTAATGTTGTCATTTTAGCGGTATATTTAACATTGCCATAAAGAGGTTTGGCTAGCCATAAAACCCGGTTCAACCAACCATTATTTTTAAATGTCCTGTGAGGAATATGGCAGTTGTTATCAAATAGTCCGTTTCTATGTAGGTTGGTTTTTATTTTTGTAGCAGTTCAGTGTTTCTGTTGTTCCGTTGTTTTCCTCTTATAGTTGATGTGTTTACCTCGGTTTTGTTTTGTGACACGGATTTATTTATTATTTATATTATTTATGGTTAATCGATTTATGACTATTGAGCAGCTGTATACTACTGTTGCCTTTATATGACATTCTAAGCTCTTTAAGTTCTGAGAATCTAGGCATATATATGAAACTATTTTTTATTACTATATGCAGACGACGATACTATTATATTTGCAGAATCACCACATGAACTAAAACAAACACTGGAAGTTTTGAAAACTATTGTAACTTCTGGAAACTCAAAGTTAATGTATGGGAAACAAAAGAAGGGTGTTCTCGAAGAGAAAGTGTACTGTAGACTATAATATTGAAATATTTGTTGAAAAAATATATCAGCAAGATGATTATAACTATTTAGGTATTTTGCCTAATTATAATGGTAATTTTTATAAAGCAAGAATAAAACTTGTTGAACAAGGACAGAAATCACTAATTTCATTGTATACGAAATTTGTCATATGAGTATACCTATAGATTTGTAATTTAAACTTTTTGATGTATTAGAGTCTCCTATATTGACATATTCATCTGATGTTTGGGGTTTGAAAATAAAAATATTATAGAAAAAATACATTTACAGTTTTGTAAGGACATTTTAGGAACTAAAACAAGCACGCCAACTTTGATGGTGTATGGCGACCTTGGGTGATACCCTGTAGAAATACAGATAAAATTTAAAATGCTGTGTTTCTGGAGCAAAATAGTTGAAAATGCAGAGAATTTGTCTGGTAAAATGTACAAATTACTTAACTCATTTTTCTTCTCTAATGAGAAAGGTAAATATGCTAGATATACTTACTGGAGAAGTGATTAGATGATTGAAGCTGTTAATTTTCTCCTTGATAACATTTATATACGTTTCGGCAGCAAAGTTTATTGACAGGTTGTAGGTATTCCTATGGGCACTAATTGCGCCCCTTTAATAGCAGACTTGTTTTTGTACAGTTATGAATCGCAGTTTATGACCAAACTCAGTAAAGACGCGTCTAAATTGCATTTAATTGATAAATTCAACAACACTTACCGTTATCTTGATGATATTGTTTCGTTAAATAATCAGGAATTTTCTCAATATACTGCCGAAATTTACCCAAAGGAACTTAGTTTAAATAAATCAAATTTAAACGGTATCAACTGTCCTTTCCTACATTTAGATATTTCGGTTTTACACGGGAAACTCCACACTAAAATTTACAACAAAAGGGACGATTTTTCGTTCCCTATTGTTAATTTTCCCTTTTTGGATGGTGATGTTCCTTTGGCACCATCTTACGGTGTTTATATTTCACAACTCGTTCGCTATGCCCGTGTTTGTTGTGACGTTTTTGATTTTAACGAACGCAATCTATGTATTACTGGTAAATTATTAAGCCAGGGATTTCGTTACCACAAATTACTTAAAACCTTTACTAAATTCTTCCACAGATATAAAGATTTGGTTTTGATGTTTGGTTGTATCTGGAGAAAACGTATTTCAATGGGATTGCACATCCTCATTTTTACGGCAATATTGTTTACCGTGCCCGGAAATTTAGAAACGATCCTGGTAAACTTTTCGATCCTGTAAATAAACTTATTCTAAAAGGTTACCAATTCAACACTGTAATTAGATCATTAAATATTGTTTTTATTGGTACTAATATTAATTTTGTTATTAGTAAATTAAAAGCAAACTAAATATTATTGTTATATACATATACACATTCATGGATCTACAATCTGTCGATACCTGTATCTTGGCATTGCACACGATCATGTTTTCACTGACTGTTTATGACGTCTTTACACTAAATCCATTGGATGTTGGATGTGTACGGATTGATAATTTAGTCTTAGATGCATGATTTTTTATTAGTTGTTAGTGGCTTTGAACTAGCTGTCAGTAACTGCGAGTACTCTCAGATCTGTACTTAGTGTCTTTTTGTTGTTTGGATGTACAAGTACTCGGCCACGTCCACTTGTATTTGTAGTATTTGTATTTTTATCCATCGGATGAATTAAGCCACTTTCAACTGATTTTTATAGTTCGTTCTTATGTTGTACTGTTACACCACTGTCCCAGGGTAGAGGGAGGATTGGGATCCCGCTAACATGTTTAACCCCGCCACATTCTGTATGTATGTGCCTGTCCCAAGTCAGGAGCCTGTAATTCAGTGGTTGTCGTTTGTTTATGTGTTACATATTTGTTTTTTGTTCATTTTTTGTACATAAATTAGGCCGTTAGTTTTCTCGTTTGAATTGTTTTGCATTGTCATTTCGGGGCCTTTTATAGCTGACAGTGCGGTATGGGCTTTTCTCATTGTTGAAGGCCGTACGGTGACCTATAGTTGTTAATTTCTGTGTCATTTGGTCTCTTGTGGAGGGTTGTCTCATTGGCAATCATACCACATCTTCTTTTTTAAAATTACTTAAATGTGGAATAATCAAGAATATGTAAAGCCTGAATTTTTGAAAAATGATGTTAGACTGAGATAGACAAAAGTGGTTTTCAGATGTTACAAATTCTTCACGAGGGGGATATTATTCGAAATTTAAGACAGAGTTTAAATTTGAAGATTTTGTTTTGCGGTTAAATCCTGTAAATAGAAGCTATATTTGCAAACTGAGAACAGGCAATCTTAAATTTCGATAGAGACGGGACGTTGGGCTGGTATACCATAGGTTGAAAGATTGTGCTATCTCTGTATTCCATTCCGATAACACAACACACTTATTTACACGTGGTTGTGATGTACAAGAACCAAATCGAGTGCACTCAAAACATAAATACTGTAGTTGAAATGTGAGTACCTGTAAGCTATTCAATTTGCAATCATGATTTTCTTTTACCCTTGACTGGTAATTTGACGAATTCGTTGTGTATTAATTAAACAACAGTGGTACAATGATGAACATATAGGGCCATCATGGTAGACATCGTTTTAATGGCCACAATTTGTCAGAGTATATCACAGGTAGTACTGTGTGTTGATAAAAAAAATCAATTAAAATTCTTTGAACTAATAAATTGCTGATTATTTTTATTACCTGACTGTGGATCCCGGACCATGTACAGAATCAGATGCTCCTGCATTGTAATCAGTCTCGTCATTTTCGGAATTATAATTGCCGGAATAATACGTTCCTCGGAAACTACTTTGTGATACACATGGTAATGCTATAATAAGAAATGTCGAACGTCAGATTATATTTGCATGATAATATCCCAATTCAAAATGTAAACATGTTCCTTAGAAATTGACTTATCTACAAAATAAACCACAATGCATTGTTGGCTACTACGAGTTAACCATTCAGCTTATAACACGTAAAATGTGATTGAAAAATGTCATTTTGTATTATATCCCGGAATATATCGTTTATTGTTTTGTCATATAATGTAATATAAATAATGTATATAAGGCATTATATTCAATTTGCATGTTTCGATAGGTGAAAATATTGTTCATCAGCAATCAGCACTCGATCTTTTTCCGTCTCGTCAAAGTAGTAAAGAACAGAGTTTTTCTATTGTAATGCACTGTACTATTGCATTCATTTCACGTGAAATTATTTAGAAATTGCTCACTGTCCAGTAAAACTCCTCTGATCTCTTTAAAACTTGTGAAAGGTTGCTATTTTGTAAATATCGTAAATATCCTAACGGAGCTTCTTTTACGGCTAAATCTGTACCACTTTTACTATGAAGTTTCGTAAAAAATCATATCCTTGAATGAAAAGTTTATATACACTGCTTTTTTCAAAGGTCAAAATATAGCGATGTGCGGCCTATTTTTCAACATTTATACGATACGAATTTCTAAGAGTTTAAACTTATACAAAAATTCTGTACTACCCCTCCCTTCACTTTGAGTATTTCACAGATTTCAATTTGGCTGCTACTCATGTATATTTATACTGGTAACATTTCCAAGTTATGCTTCTACGAGATGAAACATAGAGATTATATCTGTGAACCAGTTGGTAAACAAAACAAAATATCTATGAATATTATATATTTCCCCAAACGAGGCGTCGTTTATGAAACAGCTGTATTTACAAAGTGTAACCTAAAATTTTTTAAAGGAATGGTTTGTATGACACAGTATGCTCTAAAATGTTCGTATCATATATCATTACGTAAAATAGAACTCGTACATAAAGCACAGAGAATGGGGCAAAGAATTCCTTCTTTATATCGAGTTTTACATGCTGCAAATAACTACGGTTTTATAGACTGACTCTGTATGTGTATGCATTGACTTTGTGGCTATATCAAAGTTATTACATGAGTTTTGCTAGTCTCATTTTTCTGTTTATATACATGCCATCATAAACTCGTATTCAAAAACGAATTGCGTTTTTATTGTTGTTATTCTTCACAAAGTCACACTTTGTAAACATACATGTATCGTGAATCCAGGAACAGAAAAACAAAGACTGAGGATGAACAAATGCAATTATATTATGGAACGCCACAGCTGTCTTATGTAGAACTCTGATATTACGTTATGTTGTTCTGTTATTACTTGATGATAGTTTGTCTTTACATATTATGATTTTGACATTACGTAATGATGTTTTGATATAACTCAATATGGAAAAGTCATTACTTAATGATGTTCCGATATTACATGATATGGTTTCGTATTGACTTGATATATTTTTGTCATTACTTAATATGGTTTTGGGTCAAAACTCGATGTGGTTTCACCATTATTTAATGTGGTTGTGTCATCAGGCAATGTGGTTTTAACATTACTTGATGTGTATGTGACTTGACGTAATGTAGTTGTTTCATTACATAATGTGGTTTTGTTATTTCGTATTGATGATTAGCCAATTCTTTATATGGCTTTAACATTACGTAATGATGTTTCAAAATTTGACGATTTTACACTACATGATGTGTTTGTTTCAGTGTTTGATGTGGTCATGTCATTCTTTGATGTGGTTATCCCATTACAACTACGAGATAAAACCACGTGACCACTTTGGAAAAAATATGTTCTATTTTTAGACCGATTTCCATATGTCGTTTGTTTAATGCGCTTTGGATGAGTACCGCTATCCATTAAGTTAAAGTTCAAATTAAAGTTCAAGTTGTTGTTCAGAGTTATTTGGTATGAAAAAAAAAGGAACGACAGACAAAAATAAGAAAAAAAGTACTGAAAGAATAACAGTAATTCGGACATATCCCAAACCATTTGGTCCTGCCGTTTTTTCCTTAGTTCTCAAATGGAAGCTATAAATCAATAAATAAAGTAAAGATTCTTGTTAACCCTGTGTCTCGCCGGATAATTCTGCTGTCAGTGTAAAAGCGTAAATTAAATGTTGACTGACTGTACATTAACCGATACACTTAACGGAGGAAAACATGTTTTTCTGTAGATGCTTTTATCTTGATCTTGAAGAATAACTCCTATACAAGTTTTATAACAATTCATGAAGGTTTACAAATTTATCATGTCAAAACAGTTTAATTCGGTAATATTAAATGCATTAAAAAACCTTATATAGAAATAAAGAAATGTGGTATGATTGCCAATGAGACAACTCTCAACCACATACCAAATTTCGAGTTGAACTTCGAGTTTGAGTCGCATTTAAAGATAGAGTTCCGAATAACAATTGGACTTCAACTTTAAATTTGAGTCACCTTTTGGCGTAGAGTTCGAGGTAAACCCTTGTTTGAGTCTCATTTAGATTAAGATTAAGAGTTGAAATTCGAGTTATCTAATATGAGTTCTATTTTTTTTATCGTGGATCAAGGGCTTTTGCTCGAGCTTCCGAAAACAGGGTTCAGGGTTAGGTATGCGTACAAAAGATAAACAATTTTACAGCATACAAAACACAACATAGAAATTGAAATAAAGTTAGATGTGGTGTGATTGCCTTTGAGAAGATTATCCACCATAGTTTAAATGCCGTGGATGCAAGCAATCATAGGCAACCGTACAGCCTTCAACACACCGTATAGTCGGCTAAAAAAGACCACCACGTGGAAATGTGAAACAATTCAAACGAGAAAACGAATGGTCTAGTTTATAGCTTTAACAATCTACGAATAAACAGCTGCCCCATGAGCGCATGATACGCTCGTCGTCTTGTGTGTGAATTTTTATGCAATAATCCTAAATAGTTTCTGACATACGGCGCGACATGCGAACCCCCCCCCCCCCCCCCTTTTTTAAAAAAAAACTCAATAACTCAAAAATAAAATTTTGAATCATCACCAAAAAGTATACAGATCTTAAGATTAATATAACTAAGAAGTGTGTAAAGTTTTAAGCAATAATCATAAATTGTTTTTGAGATACCGTGCGACATGTGAAAAAAATACACACACCTGTTTTAGTTACTAAGTCCCGTAACTCTAAAAGTTTTAATCTTATTTTCACCAAAAAGTATACAGATCGTTTGAATAAATCTTAAATAAGTGTTTCAAAGTCATATCAGATAAAAAAAAAATAATTGTAATTTATGCCAAAAAAAACGTATTTTAGAATCACGAAATAATTGAAATCAAATTTGGATTAGTTTTGTGCTCAATGGAATTTTTTAAGACTTTAAAATATCTATTCCTTTATAGTCACTATTTTGAGATCGAATTTAATGAGGTTCATATATAAGTATGTGCCAAAACAGAAAAAATACAGTTGCAAATCAACGGGTACGTCTAAACACTGCCCAGGACCTCCTGAGTGCACTCAGGACATACAAAGTGCACCCAGGACTCTTTAAAGTCATCGTATATGCACACGTTTATATTCTTTTCGTGTGTTTATTTTAGTGGAAACTTTTGGAAGATTTTGAAAACGAACTTAAATAGATATTCAATATTTTTATAAAATAATGAGGTCACGTGTCACTGATTTCACAACTACTCAGCCGTGAATAATCCAATCAACAAAATTGATTGGATTATCCTTATTGCTTATGAATATTCAGATTCAATATTTTATTAATCTATCTAATGAATATCATGTTATTAAAACTGTTTTTATAAAATTTAATAATGCGAAATTTTAAAGTTTTTTCGGAATTGATTTATGTAAATTAATACTTTCTGTATTGACTTTAACGATAATGGAGAAAAAAACTCAAAAGTCTCATTTAATGTATTTTTATACAGTTTATGTGTAATGAGTCAGCTAAAGTAATTTTGTTATTGTACGTTCTGCAGTTCTAAAGTAAAAGAAATAACAATTGATATATATAATTGTTTTATAGTTTGTCTATTACCAGTTCGTTTTTGTTTTTCTTCTTGAATTTTTTCTCCTTTCCAACATCAATTAAATAAACGAATATCATATTGTATTTAATATAAACATACAAAGTGTTTTTTGTTTTGTTTTGCTAAGTCTAATATCTTGGTAGAGTACGTGCTTGTATTGGTTTCTTTCTTTGGTTTGGCTAATGGGCAAGTTTTTATTTTATTTTTATTTAACTGTGCATAAGGACTTAGTCGTTGTAAGAACGGACTGCGTATCTTTCAACAGTCTGCGAAATAGTCTTTCTCGCTGTTCTTGATTATGAGTCTTGCAAAAACAACATTAAATTGATATGAAATAACATGTTTTCTGTAAGACCAAAAAGTTCATAATTTCTCATGAGCTCGATTTAAAACCAAATCTTACTACCTGAAATTGTTAAGAAAAAAAAACCAAATATGATAAATGACGGGAGTTCAATGTACGCATTATTTTAGCCCGTTTGTGAAAGGGGGTCGGTCTTAATCGGGACAGAAAACTGGTAGAAAAATGGAGTCAAATTCATTATTCAGAATTTATTTTCTCATTGAAACTCGTTCAGGCTTGTAATCATGGTAATACTGGAGAAGAACGATTTTAAGGAGAAACAACACTTTACTGTTTGAGTTTGATTATTTGAAAATCGTATTTTTATAAGTACGGCAACAAATACAGATAAGAACGGGCTTCATTCAAAACCAAATATTGCCTTATTACTGGACAAGAACGAGTGAAACAAGCGACAGTGTCTTGTAAATATGTGGATACACTTTCAATAGTCACACACATATTTTATATACATTTATTTCGGGAATTATTTTTTAATTTATTATGCGCTCTATTGATGCCAGATTTTCCTTTTTTTTAATATCAATGTTCAACCACACAGTCATATGCATTCTTATATTATAGGACTTTCCTCGTA